CAACGCTAATAAAACCTGGTGCCCAAATGTGTAGGCAAACAGTCCTTATAAATTTGTGCGTGCTTTGTGTGAGCACTTGAAGATTTAACGTCAGTTAGCTGACCGTTGGTGCCAATCTGGGTGCATCTTCATTAACAAAGATGTCATGCAAAGTATCATTTCGTTGCAATCTTATGGAATCGCATTGCCTGCGAACGCTTTCAGGAAAGACTTTGGAATAAGTTCTGTATGACGCATATTTTGTTATCAATGTGCTTTCCTAAACTTTGTTCAGAAAACTGGGCCATTTTGGAAAGTAGTACTACATTACTGAGAATGCTATCCAGTCAAAAGAAAGAATAAATAAATAACTAAGTAAGTGCCATGGTCCTAGCAGTGGCATATCTAGAGGGTACATGGATGATTCCCCCTCCCTCGCCCCAAAAAAAAATTGTTTCTCCCCTGCCCAAATAAAAAATTGTTTCTCCAGTTGTCCCCCCCCCCCAAAATATCAGGTAGTTAAAAATCATCTCAAATCATCAAAGTGGGAGACTCCCTCTCCCACTTCTATGTCTATATGATAGGGTTTTTCATTTTATTAAACAAAAAATGGTAATCCCTCAGTAAAACTTCAATCATATTGTAAATGAGGTTGAGAGCCCCATTATAACATCCTGTAATTAGCATAGTCCTAGCTGTCTCACATTATTAATGCATCTGCCTGACAATCAGTCCTTCACTCTCAAGTAGTACATTCTGACTGCATCATCTATTGACGGGCAATTGCATGATGGGAGAGACCTGCATTAGACAGACAGTGTTGTACAAGTTCTGAACTTTCTTTATTTTGTAGCCCACCAAAATTATGGGATATCATAAAATATCTGCTTTGATTAAAATACCATCTTGTATGTTTTACAGTGTTATATTTCTATAAAATGATTAATCAATTATTGTGTTTACTTGGACGTGGATTTTTAAATGTATATTCAGGTGTTTAATCAAATTTTAAATCTTTAAAAATACATGCATTTGGTTTTTTGTCAGTATTTTGCATAATTAATGCATGTACACAATGATAATACTAAAAATAATAATTGTGCTCATAGCCAAAATAGATTTAGCTAAAAGCAGTCACTCCTCATGTATATTTAGGGAAACCCTTCTACTGTTCATCAAATTCATAATTAATACCTGTACACATTAATAATGATAATGATAATAAATAATTGTTAAGTGTTTATATAATTCATGTCAAAAATATAATGTGTGTGATATAAATAGCAGAAAAATAAGCTCAAAACATTATAACCATTTACTTTCAAATGTAACTAGTACAAGATCATGTAGATTACAAACGTTGCAAAGAGGATAATTTATGAATGATAACATAATATACATATTAAGGAAGCTGTCTTATAACATAATTTGGATAAAATTATGAAAGATTAGGACTAATCCCATGCTTTGCAAAATAGATATATAGGCGTACACACTTTTCAGAGGAGTTTGCACTAGTTAACGCTAGAGCATCATCAATAATAGATCATATGCTACAGACATTATAACACATCTGACTAAAGTAAAAAGTTAACATAATTGCGGTGCGACATCATAGCAGTAGATGATGATCCCTTAGGTGATTGAGGTTGGTAAGCAAAGCAAAAACTTGGACGGAGGTGAAGGAGTGTATCAACTTTCCAACATATATATAAATACCATTCTTTATTCTGACGAAGAATGGGGCCCTCTCCATCAACAGAGGTGCGGGATGTTGAATCCCACCAATCAACAGCAGCAGCAAAGCATTTCTAGATATTGCCTGAATGCCTGAAGAGCAACAGATCTGATAGTATCAATTAGTTGCAAGTGAATAATTCTGTTTAATTTACTAAGAATCATTAATACCTGTAAAATACTGTATAGCTCTATAAAAATGCTAATTATTATTATTAATAACCATTAATTATTGATTGTTTCTCATTCTGATTGACAGTTAATTAGTTTGGCAGTTACATTCATTTTAGGTTTTTGTTTAATTTTCAATTTTATTGTGGCTGCGGCACTACCATCATCATCGGCCTGTAAGGCTGCTCCTGGCTGATGGCATCCGCAAACTCTATTCTGGTCTGTTCTTTGCCAGGTGTGCCCAATTTACTCCAAGCTCTTTCTGGAAAAGATCACTCCATCTCTTGTTTGGCCTTCCTCTTTCTCTTTTGTTTCCGTATGCCATCTTACTGTATAATTGTGTCTTCATATTACATACGTAAATATGTGATTGGAAAACATATTTCATTGTAACTTGCCAATATTTTTGTATGCTATAATACAAGCTACAAAAAAATAAATACTGTATACTTTAGGCTATGAATGTGATTTTATTCCTGACAATGGTTGTTACCATGGCAACAGTTGATTGTAACTGACTGAATTTACTGACGTGTATTCTATTATACTGAATCACAAAGTAAAAGGAAGTAATGCATGCGCTAGGTTACCATAGTGATTAATAACAATTGGTACGGTAAGTCATTTAGAGAGACCACTGTGCAGGAGGCAACAAATATAGTAAAATGAGTTTTTGAATTTAAGTGTGATATCAAAAATATTAATTTTCTCTTTTTTTCCGCTCCGAGTTGTGAAGAATGTCTAATAGCTAATATTTGTATGTTCATGGTCAATTATTGCAGGTCTCTTCCAATTAAAAACCACTTTTAGGGATCAAGGTTTTTATTGTCTTTAACAGCTTATGTTCTTTAATTGGAAAAATAATCACCATAAAGATAAAAGGTTGGTTTTCAGTCTTTAATTGGAGGTGGTCTATAATTGGAGAGAGAACCATATAATTTTTAAATAGTACCATATTATTTATGAGGGTTATGTTTATTAATATTATTATTGATAATATTTATTTATTATATTCATCAGTGTGATTATCCACCACCAACTCCATAATTATTGTTGTTTCCGTTAAAATATTAAATTATTATTGATGTTATTGTTGCTGTTATTATTATTGTCATTATTTTTAGTATCATCTTCATAATTTATTAGTTTTGTAAATGTTATCAAGAGTTATCATTTTCATTGTCATAATTCCTTCCATCATCACCATCATCATCATCATCTTTAAACTTTATCCAGTGTTACAAAATGATTATTCAAACATTCTAAATAGATAAATCTTAAACTATTATACTGTTGTTATTTTGTCATTGCCATTTTTGTCATTATTTATCTTTGACATGTGTAACATCAGTATCATGACCGACATTTCTACTTAGAAAAAATGAATTGCTCTGTGATTTACAGTATAAAGCAATGCATGCCAATGAAACCAAAATGTTGCTAATGCTGGCTTAATTAATTGGTTTCTCAATTTAATTTTTCGTGGACAAGGTTTAATAAATAAGCATTTATGATAATTTGCTACCATGTATGAGCACCTGATTTTTAACTCATTACAAACGAATCAAGATATGACTTGCATTTAATTTTTCATAGTCAACCTTTGAACACCTTATTGCTCAATCTCCCTTCTTCAATGAATATCCACATATTTAATTTGTTGGCCCGAAATGAAATTCTGTTGAAATATGTTTTAAAATCTGTGTTTATTCATGCATATAAAATGGTGTTTTAAAATTTAATATCTTTTTGTGATTGATTAATTGTCTTTAATGTATTTTTTCTTTAAATCTGATCAGAATAAATATTTTCAAATTGTCTGGAACCCTTTGTATGACAGTTTTTTTTTTATTTGCTAATTTTACATTTCCATGATGTACCAAAACATATTTTTTTGAGTGTTTGATTTACCAAAATAAATTATGATAGTTATAAATTTATAGTTTATTAATGATATTTAATGTATTATTATTATTATTATTATTATTATTATTATTATTATTACATAAAATATCAGTAATCATTTTTAAAATTATAAGATCAATTCATAAAAGCTGTTTCATCATAAAAATATTCAAATGTGTTGTCCAATTGAAAATTACAATGAAATTGAATAACTCGCATCTTTTAGTAACAACATACACTTCTATATATTGCTAATCCATACCTATTAAATTGTTACAGCACAATGAGTTGCAGTTTATTTAGTATATAAAAGGTATAAATATTAATAGTATACCTACCTATAATCATTTTTTTTTTCTTGTTTTGTGGATTCATCCCACTTTTATTCAATTCTGTAAATTTTTCAATAAACAGAGCATGTATTATTATTTATAATTAATCTTGTTTATTTTTGTTTATTATTTCGTATATGCACCCAATTATTAATATGCAGTAAAAGAATCTAATTTTGGACACTTTTCAGAATTGTTTTCTTAAATTTCTGTAACGAAAGTCTTGAGACCATGGTTTTATATAATTTAATAGGTAGTATAAATACTGTTCATAGGAAAAAAGTAAATGAAAGTGCTTTTAGTAAATATAAAATGTTTATAATTATAGATTGATTACACATTAGTTTGCAATGTGCATAAATACATTAATATTTTAATTGCTATTAAATTACAGAAAAATAAAAGAGTAGGAAATGGAATATTCACTGTTTCTAAAAATAACATTATAACAAACCAATTCTCATATGAATATCAATTTATTCTTGCTTGTGTTGAATAAATTACATCAAAGTTAGTCTCAGAGTGCTGCCTTTTATAATCTGTGTTCTTGAATGCATTATCTCAAAAATATTATTTATTCTTATAGTTATATAATATTTATCATTATATTGAGTATAAATAAATATTATATTGTAATAATTGTTCATTGGTAAATATTATATAAACATTTAGCTGTGAAAAGAATGCATTTAGAATGAAAGAACTTAATACCCTGTATAGAATCGTAAATGACACATTGAGAGGACAACAATAAGCAAACCAGTGTGTGGGAGTTAAAAAACTAAGAAATTGAACTCGTGAATTTGGTTAATGATGGACTAATGCCTATAGCCAGAATCACACCACAGTGTGGGTGGAAGCAGAGCTGAGCAGTCAGCAACTGAAATGTCAGCGTTGATGTTGTATTGATTGAAGGCAGGCAGTCTCATGTCAAAAGGCTTTGTTTTCTATACTCTTCAGCCATTCTCCAGTCTGCCTACGTTGGTTGTAGTATATGCTTATATCATGATGAAAGCTCTATACTTATATATAGATTAGTTTTGTCCTATTCTGGACACACACAAGGTAAGTCCTCTTAAAATTTCTTGACTTCGTTATTATTTTTATACCTGAATACACATCGCTTCACCTGGAGATTTTTTATACACATCGATGAGGTACTCGTGAAGTTCTTTACTTTTATGTAGAATAGTGTAGATTATTATGGACACATCAAGGTATCCTAAGGTTGTTGGTTTTTGTTATTACTGTATTTTTATACCAGCTTATACAAGAGTTCATTGGGGAATATGAGTGTTATGCACATCGATGTGGTACTCTCGTTTATGCAAGGTGCAAGGCATAAAAGGGAGGAAATGTACTCTGTCTTAATAGGAAGGTGAACTACAGTATCACATTTTGCTGTAGAGATTTTTTTTAAATTTAAAATGGAGGAATTATTTCAAAAGGCAAAGGCAGGAAAATTTAGCATGTTGCAGTCTTCTTGGTGATACATTCCCAGCTGAATGAAATCTAGAAGTGATTGCAATTGCTCTCCTGGGATCGATTCAAGGAGTTCATAGGAGGTCAGTGCTATCACGTACCTTTAAAACGAATGCCCATAATACTATACATTGAGATGAGAAATGACATTTGTACTGTGTTATGTTATTGTTAACTAAATGATGGATCCCAACTCAGTGGCTAATGGCTTTGCACATAGCACATAAAAATTCATTCCTTTGCACTTTCAAAGACAACTAAAAATGATGAAGCATCCTTATTGTGTTTTTAACACTGACATACAACCGTCCATGAGTTCGATCGACAAATCCTAAACTTCAGTAGCACTAGAAGTTATTTATTTACTGTACTTTTTACCTTTATATTATGCAAAAATCAATATCTCAATGTCACATTTAACCGTGTATATACAGTATAATGACAATTATTTGGCTTTTGTTTAAAAAAAAAAAAAAAAAGAGAAAAATAATATAAATATGTAATTATATAAATGTGGATTGTTACATAACACTAGAAGTTATTTATTAACTGTACTTTAAGTTTAATTTTTGAATATTATGCAAAAATTGATATCTTAATCTTCCTTTAATCATAATATGCAATGACAATTATTTGGCTTTTGTTTAAAAAAAAATAAGAGAAACATAATAAAATTCTATATTTATGTGGATTGTTAATATGTAACTCTTCCTTACCTTGTTATGTAACTCTTGCCTTGGACAGTCCTTGCTGGTGCATAATTTAGTTTTAAAATGAAACTTCAGGTGTTTTATTACATAAATTTCATTTAAGAAATTCCTATTTTTGATGTCAAAAGATGGTTATACAGTAGTGTATCGTATGTACCTACTGTATATGGTAATTGATCAAAAAAATATCAGAGCCAATCTTCTAGATTCAGGGTCAAGATGGAAATGAAAGTAATAATAACTGATGGTGTGTTTCAGCTTGTAAAATGTTTTTTAATCATTTGAATTAATTTTTTTCGATCTGTTATTCAATGTTCTTAAGTAGTAATCATGTTTAACCAGGAAATACGTTTATTTTTTAACTACTGTCTGATATGTAATATAATCTTGCACTCTGTCATTACCTTAAAGCTAGGCTCTGGAGGAAAACATTTTTTGGTATGTTGTACTTCAACTTATTTTTCTAAGACACAGAAAGGTGTTTGACAAAAACGGTTAACAGGTGAAAAAAAGCAGGTAACACCGCTTTTTCCCAGTATATTGAAAAAAAAAAGTATCTCATTGACCATTTTTTCGTTTAGTGTCTGATATGCAAGTCCCCTTTCATCATTAAAGTCAGGCTCTGGAAGGAAACATTTCTTGGATGTACTACAAATTTTTGTAAGACACAAAAAGAGTGCTTGACAAAAAAAAACTTGGGAACCCTTTTATAAGTATCAGTTGGACAACATATCAAAACATTTTTTCACTCTGGATCATTTCTTTAAACGTATACAGAATAGATGTATCTCTGAATAACTATTATTGTTTTCTAAGCATCCTTTGAAGGTAAAAACTTAAGTCATTGTTGCTGTGTTCTGGTTGTCATTTGCATTGTAAACATAAACTAGCAACAAAAATCAGTCTTGGAAACTGAAATGTGGTATATATTTGCTGTCCAATTGTGTTGATCACCTTCGATTCTTTTATTTTTTTTTCATGTAAACAAATCAAAAATCAGTTTAAAGCAATGTGAATCCATCCTGTACAGACTTCAGGTTATTTTGGAGTTGAAATTGTGTTAGTTATTGAAAAAAAAATATATGTTTCTTGTCTGATTTTATTTGTTTTTATTAATTCTACGTAAAAACAACATAAAACTGTCAGTCGCAATATAAAGAGGGCAGCATTTAATAACTATGATTATGGGACGCCAGCTGGTTTTTTTTTTGTGGTCAAACTCCAAGTTAGACTAGGCTTTTATGATATATTTCTTTTATGATGACCGCAACTACCTTAATTCTCTTGGTAAGATATTGTATTCCAACAATTAATTAAATAAAAAGCATTTATCGTTCTGATTTACTGAAATGTTTACTTCATCCGATAAGATCTCGAGCAACGCCTAAGTGCACTTACTCTAATTAGATTAATTGTATATTGCATAGCAGTCTATCAAATAAGAATTGTCAAAATTTCGGTTGAAATCAGCTTTTTTAATTTCACATAAAAATTTGTATTTCGTGAGAGTCAACAACAGCAACAGAGACATACAGTAATTTTGGGAGTTCTGTTTTATTAATTAGAATCTAAAATTGAGGTAAACCTATGCTAAAGTGGAAAATTTGTTGATGTTTTCTGGTACGTACTACTATATTTTTTCACCAATAGACCTATTGCAAAATCAAAGGTAGAAAATTCATTCGTGTTTATGTTTTGCTGAAAACAAATAATACTGTTGGTTCAAGATATTGATCTATTTATAATCTAGGCCTACATGATAAAACATTCAATGCTTGATTTTTTTTATGTCCTAGGCAAGAAAGCAGGACAATCTTACATTTCCTTTGCCTAAAATTAACATTCCATTACAAACAGCCAAAGTTTTATGGGGGTGCGGATACAGGAAACGATGTCCATAAAACATAGTGTCTGCTTTCTGAATGGAATAATTGTATACTAAATAATTAAAATGTTCCAATCATTGTGCAGTTGAATCAGAGTCTTATTTATGTTGCCATTAGAAACCCTGGCGCTGGCATAGGTTTGGTGTTTGATTTAAACCGAGTTGTGTACGTTGCATAGACAATCCATATAAAGCTCTCAAGATTCATGTTGTTGGGTAGTTTTGGGTTTTATAGTCTAGAAATGTCAGTTGCTATGATTTAGCAGAGAATTTAAAAGAAAGCAATTAAGTAGATTTGTTATTTTTGTAGCAGGAATCTAGAGAATAAATACTAAAAGTGCAAGGAATTATTTATCCAGCGAGGCTATCTATTATGCATTTATTTATTTAGCATTGTGTTACGAAGGTAGTTCTTGCTGCAGGGAAACTTCATAGCTGTTTATGCTGAAAGTGTACAATCTGAGTGGTTTAGTGAGCTTGTACCTACCATATACAAGTTTCAGAATTTGGTTCAAATCTCACAAATACTAGAATTTTGTTATGACTGAAAACATTTCCATTCACTGAGCCTAACCACATGCTTTTAATGGCAAGCAATTGCCCTGTCGCATAGAGTTAGTTCATCACGCTACAAGTAAAAACAGGTCGGCATGATAACAACATTATTTGTGGTACATATGACCGTGATCTGGCGTTTACTATTCGAGATGGACTATCATGTTTAAAATTTAGACTATCAAATTTTATTTGACAAAAATATGTGACATACCTAAATAGGGTCATGGTGACGTCGCTTCATTTAATAGGCCCATCATGACTAAATATGGGCATAGAACAGTTTTTGTCAAAGAAAATGTTTTATAATCTAGACAGCTTAAGCCAGTTAAAAAATCTTTTTTGAGGAGTATTAGCTCCAGGTTTTATTTCTTTTTAATTATTAATCATAAACAAAATCTAGATTGTCTCAATCAGCATCAACTAAACAAGAGATATATACCGCATTCACATGTCTTCGGTCGCTCGCGAGCGGACGGACAATCGCTTGCGAGCCGGGCCTTCATGTAAACAACCACTCGAGCGGTTTTTGTCGTGGGTGATCCACGACAAGCCGCTCTCGATCGACTCTGGATGCAGCTCGCTCTTGATCCATGTGAACAGCCGCTTGCAAGTGGGTTGCCAGTGAGCTTTGACCTCTTTTGTGTGAAAGCCAATCAGATACAAGCATCTCTCCGGGTAGTTAGCTTATTTTGCGCGAAATGTTCGCAGTTAAGAACTCTATTTTCACAATCGTTGCAGGTTTGGCTGTTGTATGTTATTTTTCATTTAAATATCCCTAAATATCCTCCATGTCAACTTTAACTGGATCTGGCCCGCAGGCCTGTTGGACCGAAGAAGAAATTATTGACCTGATAGAGATTTGGGCAGAACCCAAGATTAGAATGTTAGTGGAAGACAAGAAATCAAAGAACAAGACAAAAATACATGAGAAAATCGCAGTTAGATTTTCGTTTGTACTAGGCCACTTGCCGACGACAGCAAATCCAAACAAAATTGCAGGACCTAGGAAAACGGTACAAATAAATAAATGAATAAATCGGAATCTTGGGCAATCGCCCAAAAATGTCAGGTGGGGACGTTGGAGAATCGTCGATGCCACCTCCATCCAGGCCTAGGATCAGAAATCGCAGGCCTAGCATATCTACAACCAATTGGGGATGTGACATAAATTTATTTCCGGTCGCCTCGAAAGTGGCAGCGAACGCAGTTTGGCCATTTTTTTTAACTAACACAATCTCGCTCACGATCCAGCTCCTCAACCGCTCGCGATCGATGGAGACACGTGAACGTGACTATAATGATTATTTTGGGTTATTTGCATTAAGTAGCATCAGTGCTTTGCGGTGACCCAGATTAAGCCTTTAGGTCTCTAACTTCACAGCTAATCTCAGACCTTTCCAAATGGGCCCTGCATTTGCATGCTCCAGTAG